CTTAGCTGCCACGCTGAAAGGACAAACAGTTGAGCATTTTATTATGAATAATTTAGCCGGAAACGGGGTGGCCGGGCTTCCCCCGCGCCCGGGCTTCCCCCGGCTTCCCCTACCAATGTATTGACTAATTGAAAGGTCAACAATCAACATCAACTAACAGTGCCGGTTCAGCTCAGGTGACTTTTAAGCTTTTTAAAACGTCTGTCCTTAATATTTTATCACATTCATTGGCACGAATCTTGGTCAGCACAGCGTGTGACAGACGTGTCACGTTATGGGAACAAAGGGGTCCGTGGCTCGACCCGCTTCTTTACACGTTACTCGGTCCGCCGCAGTCTTGGCGCGCGGCGCTGTGGCTCGGCCCGGCGGTGGTTGGCTCAGCTCCAGTTGACGGCGCCATATCGCCACTAAAGTAGTTCTTGCGGCGTTGGTTCGCCTGTCGGTGCTGTGACTGTGCCCAGACGGCGGACCTCTTTGTCCCATCACGTTAACCCTGCTCCTAACACTATGCGACCGAGTAGCTGTGCCAGCATCCACAAACACGGCTGGCTCAACTAGCTGCTGTTTCAGAGTTGATCTATCTGGAACTAATTACCGCAGCGTGGCATACATCGCATATGAAATTGAACCGACGGCCCTCCGTTGGAAATTGAGACCTTTCAACCTTCAAAATAACTTCGCGTACGGACCGTGCCCGGTATATGGGCACATTCGATTCGACTGTCTTCTGCCATCTCCTCAGATTTCCAAATCCATCGCGGCAGCGATCAGAGCCTAAATAGCAAGCGCTGCTTAGCATGTCCTCTGCATGGACCATTCGCTACAACAAACCAATCCACTCATCGGCGCACGTTTAGTTCCAGTTCCATGCAGCGTTGCGGATCCAGCCGCCACCCTGTACTGGTAGACTGTGCCGGCGCGCACCCGTGTCGTGCGGCGCAGCCTACCACGACGGGTGGAGGCTGAGGCGGACAGCCAGCCGCGCTGCCGCCGAAACTCCACGGTAGAGGTGGCAAAAGAATATTGTTTTTGGAACCAGACTCGAACCAGACCCGACTGGATATTTCTAGAACCATTCAGACCCGGTTTTAGTTAGAATCGGAACCAGTTGTACCCGTCCCCCAAAAGTCAATGAATAATACAAACTTTTTGTAGGTATCATTACTCATTAGTTGCATAAAGAAACAGCCTTTTCCCAACTGGGAATGCATACGAGGTACAGTGTGCAAATAATTTTACCATGAGCATATGTATTCATTCCATTCACTTCATATTTTGCATTGGGTTTAGTATGTGAGAAGTGTAGCGGGGTTTCGCGTCGTTGCGGGGCTAACCGGGCAGTGTCTTTCGATGGAGATAGAGAGCTCCGTCGGCGCGTTCCTAGCAGCCCTTCTCTTTATCCGGCCCCTCGCGAACCCGTTCCGACTCTGACTCTATCTTTCCGGGGCGATCAATCATCGGAAACACATAGGCCAGGGTTAGGGAATGGGAGATAATGATAAATGATAATCAATTACCCTCGATCATATTGGTATAGAAAATCAACTCTATTTAACAAAAAGTCCCACTCTCAAACAACAGCGCCCTCCCTAGCTGAGGGCTATCTCCCACCGGATATACACAACAATCATACTTCCACTCGTGCATCCCTTCTCACTTCTGTCATACGTCCAGTTATACCTCATAATTATCAGAGTTAGCCATCTCCGATCCCTCCCTCTTTGCCTAACTTCCCCCGGTGGTGCTAAGGCGTGCGCAAGTCGTTATTAAGTCATTGGCCTTAAATTTCATTAACCGTTATCCCTTCATAACCACAATGCTCCGTACATCAGACAAACGCTTCATAATGCTCACGCTACACGAATAGAATATACGAACCACCACAGATTTCGGCACTCCGCCCTTGAATTACGCGACTTATAGCGGGTCCAAGACCATGCCGAACTACCTACACACAAATAATAAACACACACGCACGCAGGTTGTTGAGCGAACAATGGACTTACAGCATGGGCCGGTAAACCTTTGCAACAACGTACGCAGCCCTTGTCTTACTGCCACTCACGTGTGGACCTACCTTCTGCTGCCAGTGGTCAGTCAGCATCTCTAACACACTCCAGCCCACGGTTCCGGAGCTAGAGCTCGCAGGGCACTCAGTAGCCCGGGCTTTCCGTGGCGGACGTATCTAAATTTTGAAAGCCGGGTTGGGTAACTAAAGTCCGTCCGTGATACTAATGACCGCATCTCGCACCAGCCATAGTTCAGGGTTTCCGGGCCAACCCGGCGACCTAAAAAAGGGTTAGCTCTCGCCGGCTAACTACAAAGACAACACGCGTCTTCCACGCACGCAGGTCCACTCGGGGACGTCCTGCACTCAACACACATCGTCGACTACCAGCACATAGGTGTCCAAAACCCTATCTATCCGTGGCTGGTAGTTAAGCTGTCGTCACAGACCTATTCGAAAGGACCAGAGCATGGCCGGAGCTACTCGACTGACTGCGGGTGGCCAGCACCGTCTGACTGCGATCACCCGACTCGAATGCTCGGTATCTAATGTTCACCCCCGTCTTGCGGCATTATACGTTCCTTCGCGGGGCATTACTCTTCCGGCGGCATACGATTCCCTCGCTAAGACGCCCGGGGTCCTAACCACCTCCGAAACTATCTATGTCGCTCTTCAAATGACGTCCCGCGCCGACCACTTGAGGGACCGATAGCGGGCCTACCTATCTTTTTGAAACCGGGCTGGGTAACTAAGGTCCATCCGTGATACTGATGACCGCATCTTGCTCCAGTCATAGTTCAGGGCTTCCGGGCCAGCCCGGCAGCCTAAAATCTGCCCAGCCTCCGAGGCTGTTAATCCGAGACGGAACACCGTCATCTCGCGGCGGCCCACCCGCCGATACACTTCCCAGGCGACGGCCCACGTGACCTTAATTATCACCCAGGCCTACCCTGGGCCGGAACAATCGGGCCACTGGTCCCGTGTCCCGCTAGCCAGAGGTTAGACAGACTACAGCCCGTCGTCCCCTCCGAGCCAGGACACGAGGCTGACCGGGTAACATTTCTTGAAACCCTCCTCGGCGGTCTGTGCCCGACTCGCCTTCATCCTCACATTTAATTTCGCGACTTATTGCACGCATCCAGGGCTTACTCAATCGAGGCCTAATATCTAGTGGGGTCTGTCCGAGTTTAGCGTCATTCGGGAAACCCGATTTATCTATTTGTACAGTCCTCCTCCCTTTCACTCGCGTCTCATCTCCCTCCTAACCCGTAGCCGCGTCGGTGGACTTTCCACGCACAGGGGCGTGACGTGCATCATCTAACTCCCCGGTTCCGCAATCCCTATTCATCAGATGATTATGCAATTGGACAGGTGCGACTTTGTATATGCGTGGTGCTTGTGTGCGGGACATTGGTGAATTGCTTAGGAGGTAGTACCAGGAATCCACTGGCACGGGTTATGTCAAGGACACTTGGGATATGGTAAGGTAGGAAATGGGTTAGCCGCCTCAGCAGCACATGGAATTCAACCAGTGGAACCCACCAGTGTACAATGCGTTCGGTTAGGTCCAATGTGCGTGCGCAGTCCTTGTATTCGAACCGTTGGATAATTTGATGAGGAAATAGTACCAGGAATCCACTGGCACGGGCTATGTCATGGAGCTTTGGAATATGGTGACGTAGGAAATAGGTTAGCCGCCTCAGCAGCACTTGGAAATCAACCAGTGGAACCCACCAGTATAAAACGAATTCGGTTAGGTCCAGTATGCTTGCAGAATCTTTGTATTCGAACTGTTGAATGATTTGATGATGAATTAGTACCAGGAATCCACTGGTACGGGCTATATCAAGGAATTTTGGAATATGGTGACGTAGGAAATAGGTTAGCCGCTTCAGCAGCACTTGGAAATCAACCAGTGGAACCCACCAGTATAAAACGAATTCGGTTAGGTCCAGTATGCTTGCAGAATCTTTGTATTCGAACTGTTGAATGATTTGATGAGGAATTAGTACCAGGAATCCACTGGTACGGGCTATATCAAGGAATTTTGGAATATGGTGACGTAGGATATCGGTTAGCCGCCTCAGCAGCACTTGGAAGCAACCAGTGGAACCCACCAGTGTGAAATGCGTTCGGTTAGGTCCAGTATGCTTGCAGAATCTTTGTATTAGCCGTTTGATAATTTGATAAGGAAATAGTACCAGGAATCCACTGGTACGAGCCATGTCAAGGAACTTGGAATGTGGTATAGCAGGAAATAGGTCAGCCGCCTTAGCAGCCCTCGGAAATCAACCAGTGGAACCCACCAGTATGAGACAAGCTGGGTTAGGTCCAGTGTGCGTACAGAATCCCTTTGTGTACTGTGTAAAATAAGCAGATAAAGAATACTGATCGTTGTAAATTACTGTGACGAGCCAGACACCTTGAAAACGACCGCTTTCCCGACTGTGTGGCTGGCATATGGCCTGCTATGTTCTATCCTCCGGTCCCTGCCCTTCATCACTAGTCACACTCGTATTACGATATTTACAAGTCCCATTTATTTACATTCTCCCTGACACAACGCTTTTCATTCCTTTACATGCCAACTTTTACGAAACGTTCGGGGACCAGGCCGCCCAGCAATTGGAACTCACACGCCGCGCGGTGCGGTACAAAGTCGCGTCGCCCGCCCGTCCCTTTCCCGACTCCCCACGGTGCATAATCCCCTCCGTCCGCCTTAATCACCACGGGGCGCCGGACGAGGGTCCACGTCGGCACGCGTCTCGCACCACGCGCACAGTTACATAATTGACCGAAATCGAATTGTGAACTAGACTGAAAGTCCCAAGAATAAATTGAACTACCTAAACTGAATGGCCTAAAATATTGCGGACGACACCAAAAAAAAAAGGGGAATATAATGTGGCTCACATAGCAGTAACGAGGGGGGGAGAGTTACTTGAAGGATTTAGGGACTAGGTGCGCACCCGTGTTCACCGCGTGACCTTACTTGAGATGGAGTCGCTGACATGATGGTCGTGTCCGTCCAGCGCCCGGCCCGGCGGCCAGAGCCGCCGCCGGCGCCGTGATGCCAGCCGCTGGTGTCTTGTGGGCTGTCCGCGATGTCAGACGAGAGACGTGGGCCGATAGAGTGCGAGAGGCGCCGAATCAGTCGTCCCAGAGAGAGCCAGAGAGCGTTCCAGTTCCGTTTCATCAACTTATACTTTTGATGACGTCATACTTCAGAGGGCCGGGCAGCATCTCCTTGTCCAATCTTCGTCCTCCATTCTCAGAAAGTGCGTTTGGCTCCGCCTTCAAACGTTCGTGATTTGCTGAAGTTCGGCACCCCCGGCCATGGCAGTCACACCCTTTCACGCAGCGGTCGGGTGGAATTCGCCGCCGGCGATCACGGCGTCTGGGGCGCCAGGTGGCGGGGCTGGCCCTCTACTCCCCTTGTTTTGAAGCCAGCTCCGGCCAGATGTCCTATATTTTGTCGTTGGCGACCGAGTTCCATTTCATCCTGTTTTCGTTCAAACCGGGTCGGTCTCCGCTCCCCTTTCTTGTTTTGGTTCAAATCAGGGCCGGTCTGCACTCCCCTCTCCTTGTTCTCTGGCGGGGTGCCGAGCGTGGGACAGAGTCTTGTTTTCCAAAGGCTAAACTGATTAATGGCTCGAGGCTGGCAGAATGGCGCGTTTCGGTATGCTATTTGTTGGCTTCAGATCCGGGTTCTCATGAAGTGGGGTGGTCATCTATAGAGGGCCCCTGTTTGTCAGAGCCGACTGCGCCGTCTGTGTGGACGCCAGCTGGGACGGAGAGAGGGTATCACAGCCGATTTAGCCGGCTGACCGTGTCTGTGCGGTGCTCGCAGATGGCCGTGTTTCAGCTTGTGGCACAGCTTGCAGTTCAGCATGAAAGATGAAAAAAAAATGTAACGCATCTGCGTTACATTTTCAGACCTCTTTTTATAGTCGCGCCCCGCGACTAAACGTTTGAGAGCCCGCTTCTGCCGTGCTATTTGGTGCCGTTTCGTCGTGTTTCTTGGTGACTTCTTTGACGAGAGCGGGTGGCCGTCTTCTAATGGATTGGTAGCTATTTCAACAGGAGTGTTCGGTTGCGGAGGATGGTAGGACGAGCTTGGATGATTAGGACATAAGGAGTGCGGGTTTTTGTGTCATTGCACAGTATTTCAGGCCATCCTTACATTTCCAGAATTAAAAACATTCACGTACTATCCCGTAATACACCACCAACTACACATCAAATTATTTGCGCGCAAAACAATGGAAATTGAATGAAACCATTGAAATAATTAACACATGACAATACAAAAAATAACATTGGTACATTTGGTCACTATAATTCAGATCAAATTAGCGATAACATACCGGTGCAGATTGTGGTATGCCAAAGAAGTGAGCCCCGCACCTGATGGTGGCTCCATGAGTCATTGTTTATTGTTTATTGTCACAGTAGCAAACCAGATCCGCATAAAATGGGCTATTCCCTGGTCGTTGTCAGTAAACACTTCATAACGAACAACACACAACACTGTTAAAATCAAATACTGCGACACCTGATAAAACAGCTAAAAATCACCTTCTCCGAGCTATGATCATTGTAATCTAGAAAGCTTTAGGTGCTTTTTGAATTGGCTCAGCGTAAGTCTGTCTGCACCCTCGGCTATAACAAGCTTATTGTACAGTGTAACAGATCGGTAAATAAAAGTACGCTTTCCATGATTCGTTTTTACACGTGGCAAGCTAAGATAGTTCGATGTGCGCGTGTCACGTAACGTTCTGTCGCGATTAGTGTGAAGGTACTGAGCTATTGAATCCGGCTGTCCTGTTCCCCAGATCTTGTGCAGAAGGCACAGGTCCGAGTAATTGACGAGCTTTTGGGCCGGTAGCCAGCCCAATGAATCGATACAATCAGAAATGTGGTCATATTTTCGTCTTCCTGATACTACTCTTGCTGCGAAATTTATAACTTTTTGCAACTTGGCAATTCGCCCAGCGTTGGCACTTCCATAAACCTGAATGCAATAGCGCACGTGTGACAGAACTATTGCATCAACAATTCGAGGCAAGAGATGATGCGGAAGAAGGTGGCGGGCGCTGGCTAGACCTATTAAAATACCGGTACATTTGCTGACAACTTGCTCGACATGCGGTTCCCACGACAAGTTACAGTCCATTTTAACACCGAGGTTTCGAACACACTTGGCCGGCTGTAAAGCTTCGCCTAAAAACTGCACATTAACTTGCCCTTCCCCTACGTACTGCAGCTGACGCCTATCACCTATCAGTATCATCTCAGTTTTCGCTGCGTTTACTTTCATTCCATTCTGAGCGAACCAGGTGCCCATAATTTCGAGCAGCTGACTAAGGGCAGTTTGTAGCTCTCCGAGACGGGTGCTAGTCACGACAGCTTCGGTCCGGGATTGCCGCCATGACGGACTGACGGTCGCCCGCAATTCGGTCTCGAACCGGCTGGCTGCTGTTGTAGTCTGGTCCCAGTCCCGGACTCGCCCAGGGCTCCCCCCAGTCTCGCAGTTGCAGTCGTAGTTCGTCATTGCTGCCGATTGCGGCCGCCCTGGTGAACTGTCCGGCTTTGCTGCGATCGGGTCCAGTACTGGTCGCCTGTGGCTGGGACGTGGCTCCATCGCGTTTTTAGTTGTCACCACTGATCTGGCGGCCGCCGAGGTTGTGTTCTGGTGCGGACTGCCGGTGATGGAACGGCTGCCACATCCAGTGGCAGACTCGGCTACTGGCTACACTGTAGCCTTTCCGACGATTTTGCGGTTGTTGTAGGTAGGCCACAGCTCTGGCCTTCGCCGGCCTCCCAGTTGGTCTGGTTGTCACGGAAGTATAGTTCGTTTTTCTTAAGTTTGCCCCTCACTGTAAACGTCTTTTTGAACACAGCACGAGAATTGCTAGCTGAATTACTGAGAAAACTGGTTAGCGCACATTGTATTGTAGATATGAATAATATTATCAAAATAAGTTTTGAACACCGACGATTTAACGTTATGTTAAGCGCCGTGCAATTTATTTATTAGTTCAGACATAATTGATGAGAAGTCGTCTATCCCTGTGGGGCTGTAGGTATTGGCAAATGCGAGCTACGAGTCTGTGAAAAAGTAAATAAATTTGATGAAATTGATCGTCTGTGAAATCTGGTGAAATCAATGTGCGCCAACCAGTTTTCTCAGTAATTCAGCTAGCAATTCTCGTGCTGTGTTCAAAAAGACGTTTACAGTGAGGGGCAAACTTAAGAAAAACGAACTATAGTAGCCCAGCTTGACTGTCGATGCTGGAACGGATGCAGTCGGTGTTGTTGTCCAGGCCTGTTGTCCTTGCTGTCTGTTCTACGGTTATTTGGCTGAGATGATGAGCCCTTCGTTCTGACTTGCAGCACATCTCATGAGTCGGTCTCCAAGCCTGGGAAGTGGGAAGTGGGAGCCGCCTGCATTTGATGGAAGGGCAGATTACCACCTTCCAGTGCAACGGGCGGCCAGAAATCGGCTCTCAGGCTGGTCCGGTCCATTACGGCTGTTCATTGTGGTCCGTGGTCGAATCTGGTGACATTCAAATCTGCCCGAACGGTTGTGCCAATGATGTTCCATGGTTGTAGTTGTCGTCACCATTACTCCGGTTGCCGTCTGATTTTGTCGTCATAGACGTGCGATGGTAGCTGCTAACAACATTGTAGTTTTGGTTCTATTCGTGTCTCCTTCATTTTGTTTTCTTCCGCCGTCATTCTCCGTTGTGTGCCTTCCTTCTTTTCACTTTACTGTTCTTCATGTTACTTCAATAACAACCTCGATCATCTTCAATCTCTGCCGTCACCTTTTTTCAATATGATGCGTCTTATTTAGGTACCATTCTTGCCTTCTTCAGCCCTGATTTCATTCGACAACATTCGATACCTTCATAGCGTCGCGCTCAGTCGTATCTTCATTACATATATATGTTGCAGGCACTTTAGAAAATCGGTCATTTTGTGAAATGCCTAGGCATTTTACAAAAAGACGGCTGTTTGAAAAATGACTGAACGCAGCCAGGCTTTTTTCAAAATGGCTAGCCATTTTACAAAATGACTAGGCATTTTGCAAAATGCCTGACCAGCATGGAACGTAGATCCCACTACAGATACTATGGCCAACAGTTTTTGGACGTCTTCCTATACCCTTTAGGTACGTGTTCAGCCTGTAGCTGATCGATTTGAAGCTCTGTGATGACGACAATGTTGAGTAACGACCAGGTTGAGTTGCAGACTCGGCTGTAGCATAAAGCTTGTTTAGTTAACGCTGTAAAGACTCCCAAGGTACATCAACGCCGTTCATGTTCTGCCTGAAACTAGACCTAACAAAACCAGCCGGAGACCGGCCTAGTCAATTGGCAGGCCCGGTTGATGTAGAATTACATGTAAACGAATGAGTGTAGTCTTTGTTTGATTGTGTCATTACGGACAAAACTGCATTATGTATTTGGACATTAAAAACACGTTCGAATTTAATTATAATTTCCCACTCCTTCTCTCTCATCCTCACATTTTAAGAAACATCGTCGCTGTCAGTTCTATTTATTATTATTAAAACACGATTAATTTTGTTCTGTGGCAACAGCTTTGAGTACCTACTTGCATGGTCCCAGTTAAAAATATCAAGTTCCACATCGGGAAAATCATCAGGTCGCTTGGCGTAGGACGAGAGCGTTGGTTTCAGAAGACACTAACGCCTAAGTGTGTGGGATCGAATCCTCGCGACCTCTAATAGTTTTACAGATACAGGCCGGCATAAGGCCAGTCGTTTGTTGACGCTCCAGCTCGATCATTTTAAATCCAGCAGCGTCGCTGACGTGGGGTTGGAAATGTCGCGGGCCTGCACTTCTCAAAATAGAGGTAGGTATGGACTTCCCACTGCTGGACTCCTCTGGTCATAGGTAATGCTGGACTCCTCGGTCCACCTACACGCTACCTAAACGTATATAATTAGGTACTCGTATCTACAACACGCTGCTCAGTCATTTTGTAAAATGGCTA